GTTTTGAGAGTAAGCAAGCACGTGCACACTCTTCACAAGCGGGGACTGTTTCTTACAGCCTTGCTGTCAGTCCCACCGGCTTTCAGACCAGCTAAGGGTATTTATCCTCCTGGTGTCAAGACCCCAGTGGCAACTAATATGTAGTTCAAAATGCTCCCTCCTCAGGGAGGATCTCTAAGGCCGTGTAATCCCCCTTCTAGTCTGTGTCTCCTTCTAGGGGCACAGGTCCCAACATGACCACTACTCTTCCCCTCCTACTCAGTTCCATGTAGATCCTTCTTAACAGCGTCACTTGTGTAAGAGTCTTTCTGCCAGTCTCCAGTTTCCAGTGAGAACTGCTCCACATGTAGATGTATTTTTAATGTGTTTGGGGAGGTGGGGAGGTGAGTTCTGTGTCCTCCTATTCCGCCATCTTGATATCTCTATTTCTAGGTACTTTAAAATGTTTCTTTCAATATGAGTCTGTATGTGGCAGACTTCTGAAGCCTTGTATGCCTGAGAACATTTTTATTATCCACTTACATTTAAATTCTGTGCTCTTTTCCTCCAACACCTAAAAAGACTACTGAATAACTCTTGGATCTAAGATTCATGTTGAGATGTGTCACATCAGTCTGATTCTGATTCAAATCTTGTGGTGAATCTGCATTTTCTCCACAGAAACCTTTACAATTTTCTGCCTGACTACAATATGTCTAGATGTGAGTTTTCTTTATTGCTCCCTTTTGGGACTCCATGTGAACCCTTTCAAATTGAGGCCTATTTTCTCTTAATTCCTGAAAATTCTCCATTCTTATAAAAATTATTTCCTGTTTTATTTTCACTTTTTTCTCTCCAAGACACTTGCGTTGTACTATTTCTACTTCTATTCTCCGTATTTTTTGGCTTTACTTGATACCTCCCGGAAGAGTTCCTAACTGTAATCTTCCAAACCACTAATTCATTCTTTAGCCATATTCCTCCTACTTTGTATCCATTATCTTGTTTTAATTTTATCTTTTTTTTCCATATCCCATATACTATACTTTCCAAAACTAGTATTTCTACCTGGTTCATTTTTGATGTTTTCATAGTGTTGTTTCATCTTCATAATTTCTAATCTTAACTCCTTACATATATTCATCATATATTAACTTCTTGGTTCATCTCTTTCAACAATTCTGCTTCAGAAGGCATATGTTGTCCTGTGTGATTGCCTTTTTATGAGGTGGCTGTTTCTTCAGCTGTCTAGTTATTTGGGGGTTGGTGTCAAAGAAGGCCAAGTGGGAATCAAGACTCATTCCAATCAATGCCATGAGGCCTCCAACCTCCATCCCTGCTGTGTTATGGGGGATCATATGGTTAGCCTGGTCAACAACCTCACCTCGAGGTAACAAGGCGCTCCCCTTCCCAACTGAAGCAGTGTCAGCAAGGGCCTACTGGAGAGTCAGAATATTCACCACTGCCAAGGAGTAATATGGACAGACAACTCCTGCAGTATAAACTGTCTACATGAGAAAGAGTAGTGGGGCACCGCTTCCCAGCTGGGCTGGCACCAGCAGAGGCTTAGTGGGGAGCTGAAACTCCCACCTCCACCCAGCAGTAAGGAGGAGTCCCCCTTCCTCCCCAGCTCCAGCGTCAATAAGGCTGAGTGGGAATCCCAGACTTCCATCTCACCTAGCAGTAACAAAGCAGCTCCTTCTTCCTCCTGCCAGAGCAGTCTCAAACAAGGCCTGCTAAAACAGATGATTTAATTAAGACTTAAGAGTTTCAGAGATAATATCCAAGATGTCTAGATTTCAATAAAAATCACTCAGTAAACATACCAAGAACCAGCAAAAGCTCAGCTTGAATGAGAAAAGGTAACAAACAGATGGTAGACATTGCGATGTCACAGATATTAGAATTGTCTTAACAAGAATTTTAAAGCAGTGATCGTAAAAATGCTTCAGTGAGCAATTATAAACACACTTAATAAATGAAAAAAATTCTAAGCAAGGAAACAGAAGATATAAAGAACAAAACAAATTTTAGAACTAAAAAATATAATCACCTAAGTGAAAAACTCAGTGGATGGGCTCAATAGCAGAAGAGAGGGGACAGAGGAAAAACTCAGTGAACTTAAAGACAGAACAATATAACTTAAACAAGTAAGTCACTTGAAGGCAGGAAGAACAAATACAGAAACAAAAACCAGAGAATAGAAAACAAAAACTTGCATGGCCGACTTAAGCCCTAATGTATCTATAATTACATTAAATAGAAAATGTCCTGAAAACACCAATTAAAAACCAGAGACTGACATCAGATGTGACACCTGAATGTCAGATAAAATAAACTTCAGGGCAAAGAAAATTACCAGGTACAGAGAGACATTCCATAATCATAAAAGAGTCAATCCACCAAAAAGACACAGAAAGCCTAAATGGTGTGCACCAGATAACAGAACTACAAAATATGTGAAGCAAAAACTGACAGAACTGAAAGGAGACAAAGACAATTCCACAATTACAGTTGGAAATTTCAACATCATTCTTTCAAAAGCCGGTAAGACAATTTCACAGAAAATCAGCAAGGATATAAGAACTCAATAATAACATTAACCAACTGAATTTTATCAACGTTTACGAAACACTCCACCCAATAGCAAAATACCCATTCTTTTCAAGTGCCTACAGAAAATATACCAAGATAGACCACCAGATCCTGGACCATATACAAACCTCAACAAATTTTAAAGATTATAATGCAGTGTCACTACACACTTAGAATGGCTAAACAAAAACAGAGACAGTATCCAATGCTGGTAAGGATGCAGAGAAACTGGATCTCTCCTACATTACTGGTGGGAATGTAAAATGGTACAGCTCCTCAGGAAAACAGTTTGACAGTTTCTTTAAAAAAGGTATAAAAACTTACTCTACGACCCAATAACCACACTCCTGGGCATTTATTCCAGAGAAATGAAAACTGATATACACACAAAAACCTGCTTACAAATGCTCACAGAAGCTTTATTTACAATAGTGCCAAACTGGAAACAATGAAGATGTCCCTCAATAGGTGAATGGTTACAAAAACTGGTACATCCATTCCATGGAACATTAATATTCAGCAGTAAAAAGAAAATAGACTACTGAAACACAGCAACTTGGATGGACACCGAGGGGATTGTGCTGAGTGGAAAAAAGCCAGGAAAAAAGCAAATCTCAAAAAGTCAGTGCTGTAGGATTCTATTTATACATAATCCTACACACAGAGATGTAGAAAAGATTAGTGGTTGTTACAGGTTGGAAATGGTGAGGAGCAGGGGATGGATGTGACTATAACGGAGTAACTTAAGGGAGATATTCATGGTGATGGAATAGTCTGTATCTTGATTATGGTTACTGGACTAAAATGACATAGAGCTATGCACACACATTGTACCAGTGTAATTTTTGGTTCTGATATTGTACTATAGTTATGTGAGTTTTAAGTACTGGAGGAAACTGGAAGGGAACACGCAAGTTAAAAAACTAAACCATCACTGCAAGTTAAAAAAACAAACACACACATACACATATCTAAATAGCCCAACAGCTTTGTTTTGTTTTTTAAATCCCTTCTCTCTCAGAAAGGTAATAATATGAATCCTATGACTTCATCCTTGGGACATTATTATTAGATTGGGGTGAGAGAGGCTAA